AGATCTGCCTATGCTGGACACTTCATATAAATGGAATCAGAGTATGTGACGGCCTTATATATGGCTTCTGAGAACCTCCTCAGGTCCTCCATGCTGTAGCACGACCAGCGTGTGTTTCATTTTATGGCCGACAGTATTCGCTAGATGGATACGCTGCCTTTGTTTATCCGTCCATTGGATGAGCATCTGGATGGCTTCTAGTATCTATGGCGAGCAAGGCTGTTGTGAGAGGTTTAGGCTACATAGACGCGTTCAGCGCTCCTGTGCATAAGCCTGGGAGTGAGACTGCGGCTTCCTAGGAAGCTCCACGTTTAAGTGTTGGAGACACAGCCAAGCATTTCTGAAACAGCTGTACATGATTGCGAGCCATGTGTGAGGGTTCTAATTTATTTCTCCACATATTGCCAGTATTTCTTTGCCCACCTTCTTGATTACCACCATCCTAGTGAGGCCCATGGTTCAATTCCCAGTATGGTCAAAGAAGAAAAAGAAAAAACTTCTGCCATTCTAGGGAGGGCGAAGCGGCATTTCACTATGGTTTTTGGATTTACATTTCTTCCAAGATTGTGTCAAATCTTTTCATATGTGCTACGGTGTGGCTATGGCTCAAGTGTGTCCTCCAAGAGATCCTGTGTTGAAAGTTCAGGCCCCAGTGTGGCAATGTGGGGGGCAGAGAAACCTGTAGGAAGGTGGGGGGCATTCAGTCACAGATGGTATTACCTTGGGAGGAACTAATTAGCTTAGCTTTCCTGGGACCCTGGTTAACTCTGGCAAATTATGAAGTGAGACGGGGCCCTCCGACTTCCTGTGTCACCGGGTGAGGTCTTCTATAAGCACTCCTGCCGCTGTGACCCAATCTGCCACAGGACTTCCCGAGAGCCAAACCAATGGCGGCACCATGCCCTTGATCCTCCAAAGCTCTGTGCGAAACAAACATCTTCGTAAAATACTCAGCTTCAAGTATTTTGTTCAATGGACAAAATCAGCACACTTATCAGGCATTTGTACATCTCTGGAGTGTTCAGTGCCAGTTTTCAAATTGCGTTGTCTTTCCCCATTGAGGTGCGAGCATACTCTGAATGCCCCGGATGCTAGATCCTTACCTACAATCCTATCACCTCAAAAGATCCCTAGTACCTTCTGAAAGTTGACTCCCACTTACTCCCAGGACAGGCAATCACGAAAACGCTATACCTTTCCTTCCCTTTGTAAGAACTCATCGCTATCGTGATGCTATAGGGGAGCTTGCTCTGTAGTTTAGAAGCCCTGTGCCTACTTTCTAGCATGCCACACACAGCTGTGAAGTTCAGGTGGTGTCCTACATGGCACGGGGAGCATCCAATGTGCCTTAATGACCAAGAGCCTTGGAATTTCCTTTTCTCTGTGGAAACCTTCTTCATGGGCCAAACTCAACAAATGTGAAGGGCTCACTCCTTTGAAATTCCAACCCATGTAGTCTGTTATTTGAATGGTATTCTAATATTTAAAGTATTATTTTGGTATTTTGCTTTTTTCTGGTGTTGTAGGAGTATTGCATTTCTTGTGGCCTATCTGGGCATCAATTATTAAGTTTTCAACCTCTTCATATAGAGACTAATATAGTCATTTTTCTTCCTTAACCTACTCCCGGATATATTTTGGCTGTTTGGGGCAAAATTCTGCTCTACGATTTTCTGAATGCATTCATTGTAGTTTTCAAAAATCTCACTGAAGAGCCAGTGAGATAGCTCAGCAGTCTAAAGTGCCTGCTTAGGCCACCTTAGGCAGGCACAAGGGAGCACGGTTCGATCCCGGGAATCACATGCCACGCCAGCCCTGCCCTCAGGGCAGGCTGAGCCAGCCAAAAGGAAAAAAAAAAAAAAAACTCACTAAAAAAAATTAAGACCATTACACTTTGGACTTGAAATGTCTCTCCAAGGTCCATGTGTTAAAGACTTGGTTGCCTGTGCCACTACTGGGAGGTGGTAGAAACTGTGGTAGAAACTTTGAGGGGGTGGAGCCTAGCAGGAAGACATCAGGGTGCTGGGGGCACCCCCTGGAGGGGGTCCTGGGACCCCCAGTTCCTGCCTGCCTCTTTGCTTCCCAGCCACAAGATGACAGGTGGAAGGTTACTGGCCACACCTTCCCACCATGGTGCTTAGTATCACCTGAAGGATGTCACAGGCCCAAAGTAACAAGACCCAACAGCCACTGGCTCAAATCGCTGACACAAAAACACTGTCCACTGAACTTGTTAGTTCAGAAAACTGACTTGCTAATGCTTTTGAGTTCTCTGTGCATGTGGCAGGCCTATCTTTTGAGCAGACGTCTATTAGGCCTTTCAACACTTTCTTGTTTTCTATATAAGGGAACTATATATTCTTTGTCAGATTTGATCCTAAATATCATACAGTTTAGGATCTTTCAAACCTTTTAGAGCACATTGTTTCTCAAGATAAGTGACATACTACAAATTTCTAAAAGCTCAAAGAGGTACACATCGACAATTTCCCATTCATTTCTCCTTTGTCTCCAGGTTTCTTTCAGAAGAATCAATGTTACTAATTTCTTTAACTGTTAATGTGCCTATTAATAGATGGCAATTATGCTAACATTTGTTTCTCAATATTGTATCTAGAAAACTAGTTCAGTTTCGTATTTCTAAGAAATTTGTAGGCTATATTAGATTTCACACACACATACATACCTGTAGAAAGCAGTCATTTTATCATTTCTTACCCACTCATTATTCCTTTTACTGTCTCAACATCAACACATTGAATATCTTTAAATAAAGTAACTGAAAAGCAGCTGGACAGTACCTGTGGTGAGACCAACTGTTTTATTCCCGCCTTTATGAGGAAGCATCTATCTCATACTTTTATCTGACACTGGTTGTGGTTCTTGGGGCAAGTCTCCAGTGAGTTAAAAACTATTCATCCTATTTTGCTAGGAGTGAGCATCGTTTTATCCAATTATTCTCTGTGCCTATTTATTTTTCTTTAACCCCCATTAAATGTGCTGACTCATGCAAACAGTAGTCTCAAAATATCTTTACCCAAGTTGATAACTATTCTCATGAGGGAGAAAAAAAAGAGAGAGACCTTTATGATAGTGAAAATATACTTTATTTTAATATAATAGCTGCCAGCAATATACTGGTGTTGATGTTCCAGAGAGAAAAGAAAATACAAGCATTCTATGATAAGATTTCATTTGCCTTTTCATGAAATGTAAAGAAAATACTCCAACTCTGTTCAACATTATGGCTTAGGAGTTGAATTTTCTTGTCCATGACAAAAATATAATTTTGGTTGGCCCCACTTCGATAACTTTAAGAGCCTATAAATAAAATGAATGTGTCCCTCCCTTTAAATTAAATATTGATTATAACCGGTATTAAGAAACCGGTGAATCAATTAGCTCAACCAAATATATATCAAAATGTTCATGAAAAAAATAATTTGCATTTCCTCTCATTCTCACTGTGGATGTCTCCTAAAGGGGATTTCTAAATGCACAGAAATACAGCTACTTACATGCAATTTTGAAGATTCAAAACTCCACAGAAATAAAAATCCCTAAATTCTACAGTTGATCCACTTGTAGGACTAAACGTCAGAAATCTTTTAATTATATACACATTAATCTGGCATTTAAAGTTGTGAAGCCAGTTACCAGAAATAAATTTTATTTGACATCTTACTGGACATCTGCATCTAAATCAAATAAAGGAATTTGATAATATTAACTGAAAGAGAGTTTCCCAACTATTTAATAAGAAATTTCTTCAGTATCCTTGGAAAATAGACTTTCCACTCATACTCCGAACTCTTCACTGAAGTGTAACGAAAGTCAATTAAATGAAGAGAGAAATCATTCATCAGCTGTTGAAATAAAATTAGGTGATTTCCACGTGTCAAAATATAAGTTCATTCATGAATCGCCATGGAACCTTCATAGTGCACACTCTCGGGATTTTAAGCCACAACCTTTCTACAAACATGAAGTGCAGGATCTTCCTTTTTACTAGCTTCTGTCCATTACCCATCTCAATTTTCTTTGACTAACTTCCTTGACAAAGAAATAAAATTCATCTTTCTGCAAAGAAAAAATAGCTCTGCTTTTGTTAAAATCATGGACTTGCCTTCCTTGGCCAGCCAGCAAGACACCCAAATGTAGTCACTGGACAGATAAGAACAATAAGGAAAATGAATCTGCAAAGTGAAACTATTTCCCTGTTGAGCTTCCAAATGTCTCTCCTTACTCTACCTTGAAGAATACAGCCCCTTCCCCCAGGAACCTCCACTCCGCAGCACTCAGCCCACACTCACCCCTGTAAGATCTGTCACATGCTGAAGACTTTGAGCCCCGGCTCAAGGGCACCTGAAGGCCAGAGAGTGCGATTTAAAATGCTCGCCTATGACTGAAGCAGCTGGGACACTTTCACTCACTGAAGCTCTGCACTGCAACTTGTTGATGGATTTTGCTAGAACCAGATAAATCCTCATCTGATATTTAATTACAAAGGACAGTGCTCAAATTTTATCAGCAATAAGAAGTGTCAAAAAAGGTAAGGCAAAGGAATCTCCTGAGCCAAATGGATACAATATGGAGCTTTTCTTCTCTTTCCATACTAAGCTAATGACTGACAGATTAAAAAATGTAGTATGCTTATAAAAGTCACGCTGCTTCCATAAAAATCAATCCTTACTGTCAGCATACCAAAAGGAGAAAACAGTGCCATCTGAAAGCAATCAGCTTTTAAAATGCCTATAAGAAACAGCACTTTTAGACAAGTATAAAAATTATCAAAAATGTATCATCGGCACAGCCACAGTCTTTGGAGTAGTACTGTACTTACAAAGTCCATTTTGTTGAAGAAGAAGAAGAAAAGGATGGAGGAGAAGAGCGGAGAAAATAATACAAAGGAAACTCTTGTTCTACTTTTACCAAGTTCATTCAGTGTTAGAGCATAAATAATTCCTAGTTTAGGACTTTAATTGAAAAAAAAATTTAAAAAAGAATAATTTTCTTCAGTGTAGTTGCAGAAAAATTTAACTCAAGGAATACAGTGACTGAGACGAGACAAAACAGCTACGATTTAATCCAAAAGCAATGAACAATATCCTCTGTGCAAAGTCTAACAGCAAACAGAAGTAGAAAGGGAGTATTAGATCATTTTTAATGTAGACTGGTAATGCATTCTCCAGATTACCTATATTAAATATGCTTTAGAAACAAATTCACTTGGTACTGTAACAAACCCATCCTACACTCCTTAGGTTAATTTCTGTAAGAATTAATTTTTACATTGCTAGTCACCATACTTCCATAACTAAATTAACTACCAATTTATGTAGTGTTGCTCGAAAGATTTACAACAGCAAGGTCTACTGCTGCTTAAAAAGGAGCCTTTTTAAAACAAAGAAGGCAATAATGTTCCAAATGAATGGCACTGGAAAAGCTACGCAACCAAGGGCACATTCAGAGGGAGCATCTGCTGCCCATGGGATTCTCCTGTAAGGATCAAATGCCCGAGAGCTTGAGAATAGCATCCCTGCCTCTGAACTCTTAGCTCCCACATACTGTCAGATGTTATAATTCATATCAAGGACAAAAGATTTTAGGCAAAATTTTAAAATTCATCTACAAAGAAAATAACAATCTGTAGTAACTTTCTGTAGAAGGGTCTCTTCTCTGCTGATATCCTTTAGTACATATGCAAAATAGACTAAATTGAAACAGTTTCTGATACAGTAGCAATCTTTTCATATGCTCTTATGAAATACTACAAAATTAGGGGGAAAAAACTACATAAATATTCCTTGTACCATGCACTGTGCACCAGGCTGGGGCTGGCTGATGTCATGGCTACTACTGAACATTGTACCTCAAAAGTTCTGCCATCTACACACAGCGCATGGACATGACGGTGACGGTTCTAGAGAGTCTTGCACATGAAGGGCTTATGACGGAGTGTCCCCGAGCGGCAGGAGAGAAGACTACGGACAGGGAGGTAGCGGGGGAAAGGAGTTTTAAAATAATACTGCTTAGGAGTGTACATTTCAAGACAGCTACTATACCTTGTCTATCCTTGATCCTAATCTTGAATAACTGCAGGTTCATGCAAAATACATTTCTACTTCATAAGAAGAGGAGCAGTCTGTTAGGAAAAGCATAATTCTTAGGGGAAGATGGATGACATCGCTCTTGTAAGTGCTGTTTCACTTGGTAAGTCTTTTGGCGACATCACTGTATGCTATTTCGACCTCCTTATCGCTGGGACAGGTATTGGTGAACTCATCCCTACTGTAAGCATTAGTTAAGTATCTCCAGATGCCAGTCATTCCTTTTGGAATATCGAAGTTGCGGTACTTTTTGGCCACTACCTGAAATACAGAAATCAAAAGTTAACATTTATTTTGTGTCTCACAAACTAGAAGTGTGATCTTAGAGCAAATTATTCTGAGTCTTTGAGAGCTGCTGCTGTTGCCATCATTTCAATAAGTAATGATTAGAACTGGACTCAAAAATGTGATAGTGACTGCTACAGACATACAGACAAACAGCTGAGTGGGTGTCATCACTCCGTAAGTGCTTTTCAAATGCAGCATTAGGGGGCTTGTGGGTTAGCTCAGTTGTTTAAGAACCTGCATGGGCAAACCCGACCAGGCACAGGGGATTGCGGTTCAATCCCCAGCTCCACATGCCACACCAGACCCGCCCTTTTGGCAGCCTGAGCCAGCCTCCCCCACCCAAAAAAAAAAAAAAATCCTTCTAAAATGCAGCTTTAGACCTCATTTTTCTTCTCTTAGATCTTTACCTAATAGCTAGTGGCTATTACTATTCCACTTCACATTGTCTCACATGATAAATGCTCAATGTTTTTGCCTTGAATAGAAAAGGCCAGGTGATCACAGAACAGAAGTTGACAATTTAAGTCAGAGTAGCAACTTCAGTTTTCTATTACATCTTTCCATCTTTATTCAGTCAGGAAAAAAAAAAGAAAAATAACAACTTTCTCCTTTTTCATATGCTTCAATTTGAAGATACAATTTTTCACTTAACTAAGCACGCGGGAACACTAGCTCAGGAAACATAACACCAGGCCTAAGGGCAGCTGACAACCTCCAAAAGGCCTACCTTGACGATGTGCAGTTTGGGCAGCAGGTTGCAATCAGCCAGTGTCATTTCATTGCCATCCAGAAATTTACGTGTAGAAAATTTAATGTCCTCCATACTGTTCTCATCAATTTCATCAGGTAAGGGAGAATTCAAATATTCATCCAGTTTCTGCAATGTTTTCAAAAGACCCCTCTCCAGGGCTGGAAAAAAAAAAGATGGGAATACAGTAAGAAAAAAAAAATTACACACACCCTGAAGTAGAAGTTTTTACTCTTAGAGACAAAACCTATGTGTTGCCCAACACGGTGGCACACCCCTATAACCCCGGCACTCGGTAGGCTGAGGTAGGAGGACTGCCAAACAAACAAAACCCAAAAAGCTTGCACCATGCGCTTACTCTGACACTGGGCTCCACAGAACCAGCAGGCCACAGTTGTTCAAATAAATATAAACAAGCCTGCCAATTTCAGTTCACGGACATCTGTCAAACCTTGTCAATCACTAAATGACTCATAAGACATATGGTCCAACACTGCTGATGTTTAAACTGGACAGAAGAATAAAGAAAGGGCAACTGTATTAATACAGCTAGGGAAGAAATTCTCGCAGAGACAGATTATAGTCTTCAATTTTGAGTCTTGTTCTACCATAAATCTTTGGATTTATTATTAAGAAATGTATTAAGAAACACCAGTACCTGTATAAACAACCCATGCAGAAGCTTGGGATTTGGGCAGTCTTTTATTCCATGAGAAGCCCTACTGGAATTTTCATCTTATATGAAAAGCAAAAAGGTCAGATTTGAGAGTTGGCTTCACATCACTGAACTGGGAGCCTCGGTAAGGGCCAAGTCTATTAAGATGCTATAATGGTTACACTTCAAAGAGAGCTGTGAGCCACCACCCTGTATCCAGAATGTCGTGGCTAACAAGTACTAGCAGAGAAGTGGTAGAAATATCCATAGGAAGGAAAATGAAATAACAAGGGCGAGATCTTCAATTATCCCTTCTTAGCCTTTACTTCTCAATTCACCCTCCTTAGAATAAATGAAACGTGCCCCAACAACAACACACTGTTTAAAAAAAAAAAAGTCAAATAGCACAACCTCATCCATGACGACCCACATAGCAAAAAATCTGAATAAAGTTGAATCTTTTTTTTTTTTTTTTTTTGGGAACCAGGGATTGAACTCAGGCCCTTGCGCTTGCCAGGGAAGGGCTTATTCCGCTGAGCCATCTCCCTGGCCAAAGTTGAATCTTTAAAAGCAAAAAGTAAAGCTTCCATGCTGCCATCAGCTACTTCAACAGTAACACAAAGAGGTCCAGACCTCGCAGCCCTTCTTCCAAGCTGCTCCCACACTCATGCCGGGGCCTTCACTGGAGTTCAGACAGCTGTCGGAAGACTTGGCTGTGTCAGAGTATACAGGCACAAAAGAGGGACGAATGGGTTTTGGGGGTACCTAGATACACTTCAGCAGGGTTCCAGAGCCAAGGGAATGTAGGGAAAGGGGGACAGATGTATCCAGCAGCACATAAACTGAGGCCATGTCACACATACAGTCTTATCCTAAGTCTTACTGAGTTTGCTATTAAGATGTAAAAAATTCCTATCCTCAGATGTAAACCTCGGGGAATAGGAGTGCCAGAAGCTCACCAACGGACTCCTGGGAGGAATGCTAGTGCTGTTTGCTGAGACATTTACTTTCCTGAGGAGAAGCAGATTCAGGGGTTGTGGAGATGGGTTCAGATGAAAGGGTGGATCTGAGGTGCCTGTGAGACACTGGAGTACAGCTATCCACTAGATGGCTGGGTGTCCACATCTGGAACAGGTGGGGCTGGAGCCCATCCAAGGAACTTCTGAGCACATAACAAAGGTGGACACTACAGCAGGGCAGGCAGAGGGCCGAGGGCAAGGCCTAAGAGGGCCAGGCCTAAGAACACCATGAGTAGGGAGTGCTGCAGAGAGGGTGACACGCTGTGCTCGGGATTGAGTTAGAAATGCCCTCGAATCCTAGCCAGTCTCTGACACAAGGCAGACTCCTATAACAGTCTGCATCATGGGATTCCTCTATTACAGAAAAATATAATTAATTTTATCTGTTTAGTTTTTGCTTTTTGAGATAATCTTGTTAACTATTTTGTAACATGAGTCAATTTTATTAAAAGCAGCGTATTAATACTAACAATTCAACATAATAAACATGTCTTTAAGAATTTTTAATCTTGGGTTCAATCTCCAGCATATTAAAAAAGAATTTTTAATCTGAGCTCACCTACTATTCACATTACATTAAAAAATTTTTAAATTAAAATGCTATGAGTTCACAGCTAATTCAATTGGCTCAGGATGGATGGTTCATTTCCATTATATTAAGGAAAGTTCAAGGCAGAGGTAAAGATACCTTTAACTTGAAAGGCAATGCCAATTTAAGCTTTTAAAAAGTACCAAGAGCTGGGTAGTGCATGCCTATAATCTCAGCTTTCAGGAGGCTGAGGCAGGAGGATCACAGCAAATCTGAGGCCAGCCTGGGTGGGTTTCAAAGAAGTTTAAAGCTAGTCTGAACTACATAGCAAATAAAAACAAAACAAAAAAATTGAAAGGTACCAGGACAACAGTGTAAACAAAAATATTTTAAAAATAAACAAATAAATAAGAACTATTTTCCATCTAGTCACAGCCCATCAGGGTCTGCGGGGCCTCTCCTCCAGCCTGCCATCACGCATCTATGCCGGGAGCACAGGCTCGGATCTGGTCGCCCCAGCCTGCCTCAGGGCCCACAGCCAGTCCTGCCTGGGAGCTGCCTACAGGCTGACCTGGAGCAGCCTGCCCTCCAGAAGTGCATCCCTCCGGCGCTCCCTGCATAGATGTCACTGCTGCGTCTCACTCATCCCAAGGGACTGAGCTGTTAGTCCTCTGGGCTAAAGCAGGGTGATCCCAGCGGTTTTCCATTCTTCAAATGAACTGAGAGTTAGAAAGAGAAACAAACCCTTGAAATACACAAGACCAACTTTCAAGTTTCCCCCAAGAGCGCACCCTCCTCACTTCCGCTCACTACCTGTAGTACACTTAGGAAGCTTCCCAGCCTTCAGGAAGCTCAGGCAGTCTTGCTAAATTTAAGTTGGGCGCCTTGTAGGATTACAGGTGTGCACCAGCACAACCAGAACAACTGATTTTCATAATGGCTTCATATCGAGAATTTTTTATTCTAACAATCTGTAGAATTCAGATGGGGGAGTGTTGAGACAGAGTCTCACTAAGTAGCCCAAGCTGGCCTCAAAGAGCAATCCTCCAGCTTCAGCTTCCTGAGTGGGATCACAGAAGCATGCCCAGCTGGAGATTTATAGAGTATTTTAAAATTTTCTGTATACATTTTTAAAAATGTTATGCTTAGGTACAGCTCTGAAGCAGAGCAGTACCCTAGCACTCATGAAACTCTGGGTTCAATATTCAGCACAATGAATGAATGGAGTCAAGTAAGTGAAGACATTTCTACTTAACTACTATAATATTTTTGCCAAACTTCAGGAAAGAGGTCAAGCACTGAATGCTACTATAAAGCACATACAAAGCACTCTTAAAATATAAAGAATTGGAAAAATTTTTACCTGAGAAGGTAACAAATTTAACACGTTAACTCAAGTGATGGGTAACAGGATCCAAGATCTATATATACTTTTTATTTTTAATGTAATTGGTACAGGGTCTCACTACACAGCTGGGACTTGTTCATAGTGATCCTCCTGTTTTCAGCCTCCCCAGTGCTGTGATCACAGGCGTACACCACCACACCTGCTCTCGGTGGCCAGCCCAGCACACCCAGGGGTAGGGCTGGCACGGTATGTGGTGCCAGGGATCGAACCCTGGTCCCTGCGCTTGCCTAAGCAGGTGCTTAGTCTGCTGAGCTATCTTGCCAGCCCTCTATATAAATTTTTTTCATTAATAAAAGGTCACCCTAGCCAAGGCCAAAATCATGCTAACTTAGTTCTCAAGAGAAAACAAATAGCAGAGGGCACTGGAGCTCAGCAAAATAAAGGTGAGGCACTAAAACAACTCAATTAGAATGGGAGAAGTGACAGTGAATCAAGCCACTAAAAATTTAAATTGCCAGGTATGGTGGTGCACATCTGTAATTCCAGCACTTAGGATGTTGACGTACGAGGATCACACTGAGTTTTAAGCCAGCCTAGACTATACATTGAGTTCAAGGCCAGCCTGAACTACACAGAGAGAACAACAAAACATGGCCAACAAAACGTACCAAAACAGGTACCAAGAGGTGCCAAAACAGTGTGATTCAACAAACATAATGAAGTTTAATAAGACTGTCACAGAAAAGGGGGATACAAATGAAGGTCTATTTTGTAGTGAAATATATTACAAAATAGGATAGATATACAGCAACTTTTTCTTAGTTCAGTGAGAAGATTTATACTAATAGTGATTAGACAAGATATCATGTCTGTATTTTGTACTCTGAATAACTACTATGAAGACAACAATATGCAATGTATTAATTATTGTAACTGTCTACTGATCTGTTTTGAAACTGTCTCATTGTTATTCCTTTCTCAATAAAACTAATAAAAAGAAAAAAGAGCAAAGTAATTTGAAGCTACTGTCAAGATTAACCACTAGAAGGCAGTAGCATGCCATCAGAAAAGAGCTCCGTGTCCTGAAATCAGTTCAACAGCACTATCATTACAGTACACCTGGTTGTTGTAATGCTGGCATCCCTGAGAAGCTATTTCAAATGCTCTCAAAAAAATTAAGTGCAAAAACAAACAAAAAAATTAAGTCCAACAGAGGCCATGCAGCTTTAAGTTAATTATGAAAACCAAAGCTCTCCTTTTTGCCTCTATAATACAGCAAAATTTAAACGATTACCTACCTAGTCCCCACATACAGATACCAGGATCATCTGAAGTGGGGGCAATCAAAAGATTCAGGTTTGGGCATATGTAAATTCAGATTTTTAGAGAACAATTTGGCAAAATACAGTAAAATTTAAAATGCAGAAACCTTTTTGACCTACTTTGAACCTAGCTCAAGGATATTTACAGGCAGCACTGTTTCATTACAGCAAAACCTCGAAACAATCTTTATGCTTCTCATCAAGTAAATAATCCATAGTAGGAAGAAACATTTCTATCTAAAAACTGATCTATATTTTGACATGGATTTCAATTACAAAGACAACTAC